CCCAGCGCCGCCGGAGCGCGTGGTGAGCGAGCGAGCGAGCGAGCGAGCGGACGAGTGAGTGACCGGGGGGGGGGGGGGGGCGGGCGGCCGCCAGCGACGAGGCGGGCAGGACTTCAAAGCGGCGCCTCCGCACCGGCCCCGAGCCCGCTGGCCACGCCGCCTGCGTCGCACCGCTGGCGCGCGGAAGACGGCTCGGGGCTGCTGCCCGCACGCCCGGGGCCCGCGCCCGCCCCGCAGCCGTGGCCGCCCGGCAGCGTCGCGCCTCGGGGCCGGGGGCCCTCGACGTGCCAGCCGGGTGCTTGGGAAGCGGCGCCCCTCGCGGCCGACGCCCACGAAAGCCCGGGGATGCGCCTGCCCCGCGCCCGCTTCTGCTGCCCCACGTGTGTCGCCCTTGGTTTTGCCAGGCGGCGCTGACCTCTGCCTTGCGAGGAGGAGGCGGAACCGCCGGCTTCCCGGGATCCCCGCGGCCCTCCAGGTAGTGGCGCCCGCCGCTGTCCCTGCGAGCCCCCGGGTGGCTTGTCCCCCGTGCCAGAAGCCCCCCCCCCCGCTTGCTACGCGAGGCCCGTGGCCCCTGAATATTCGGAGGGGCTCCTGGCGCCCTTCACACACCCGGGCGCAGGGTGATCTTCGCTGAGCTGAGCTGCGCTGCCCCGGCGGTGCGGGCCTCCCTCCTGGGGGAGCTGCTCCAGCCCTGGCGCCCCAGCTCCGCCTGCTCTATGCTGGCCCGCCTCGATTCGCTACACGCGCGTCGTCCACGTGTGGCCAGGCCAGGTATTTGCTTCGAGGTGGTAAGAGGCTGGCCGTCATTTCCTAATTGCGCCTAATGTGAACTTTGCTTTCCATCCAGACTGGGTTGGCATTTTCATCACTCAGTGCCAATTAGGGTCTTTGCCCCAACGGGCATCACTTTATTTATTCATTTATTTATTTCGAACACACATATGCCGTTCCATTCGCAAAAGCCTCTGTGCAGATTCCGCTACAAATAAATAATGATACAAATACATAAAAAACACTGGAGACATCCCGGCATAAATATAAAATCAATAAATAAATTCAACAATTAAAATGACGTTTAAATAAAAAGGTCTTGGCCTGGTGCCAAAAAGCAAAGAATGTCGGCGCCAGGCGGACCTCTCTGGGGAGCGCATTCCATAGGTGGGGCGCCTATGGACAATGGAATGACAAGAAACGGAACTTGACGTTTCCTGACGTTTCTTGTCATTCCGTTGTCCGTTCCCCCAGTTTGGAGAGTCCTTTTGGAACATGCCTTTTCACAAGCCTAAACATTGTGCAGTCCTTTGCCTCCTCAGCCCCCCCCCCCCGCCCCCCGTGCACCCCAACTGCAGTTAACTGATACGGGAGCTGAAGACGCATGGCTGGAAGAGCCATTCAGGAGGACGAGCTGCACCTTCCCCACCATCATGGGAACTGCCCATTCCAGTTGCCCGCTGTTCCTGCTCCTTCAAGGATTAACCACTCCCTGGAGAAACCGGCCTTTTATCTTTCGTACCATGGATAAAAGGTTGCACCACCTTATCTCTGAAGTGCTGTTGGCTGTGCTGCTGTAAATGTGGGTGCTCTCATGGTTCAGGAGCTGTTTGGAGGCGCGCTCGGCTGGCGCTGTAAATGACAATGAGTAACTGGAAGTCTGAAGGGCGAAGGCGGCACTGACGGCCACCGAGACACCGGGAAACGCCGCAGAGGCAGCAGCCGCCGCTGTCCGCCTCAGGACAGGCCAGTGAGGTCCGCCACGCTCCCATTTAGGTGCTGAGGCAGCAGAGAGAAGGGGGTAGATGAGTCCCTGCCCTGAGGAGAGCAAGCTGCGTGGAGAAGCCCCCAGGGGATCTGGGGAAGAGGGAGACTTCCCCAGGAGGTCAGGGGGGCCAGGGAGGTGAGGGGGGGCGAGCAGCACGGCAGAGAAAGCGAGCGCGCCTGACGGTCAGTCCAGCCTTTAAGGTGCGGCTTGCAAAATGGTTGGCCAGAGGCCCGTGCAGGGATCTCGCTGGCCGGGCAGCTTCTGTTCCAGCAGCCCGTGCCGGCTTTTCAGGCAGCTGCTGATGGGACTTGTGCTTTCAGGATCCTGGAAAGGCCCTCTTGATGCGGCCGCTGGCACCTGATGCTCCCGGGGCATCCGGCGGTGCCTTGTGCCTGGCTGCCCGGTAATCTGCTGCGGGCTCCGTGGCTGCCCCGAAGAGGCTGCCCCTGAACTGGCAGAAGGTAAGAGCTGGCGGGGGAGCGGCGCTGGCCTGTTCTCCTTGTGTTGCCTCGAGCGTTGTCGTTGCTGTGTGCCGTCCGGTGTGCGAGAACCCCATGAGTAAGGCCCTCCCAGTGTCGCGTCCACAACAGCCCCGCGCGGCACCTGGCCATTCAAGGCTGTGCCTGCCTTTTCCATGTGTGGCCGTCCTCTTCTGCTTTCGCCTTTCCCGGCACGGTTGCCTTTTCCAGGGAATTTCCCCTCATGATGTGCCCAAAATACAGCAGCTTCACTTGTGTAATTCTTACTTCAAAGGAAAGCCCTTCCCTGACTCGATCTGGGACGCCCTTGCCCCTCTTTCTGTCATCCCAAGGTCTCCTCTCTGGCTCCATGTTTTCAGTGCACCCCTTTTCTTCCTGCCAGCTTGCTTCATGGTGCAGCTTCCACACCCGTCTGCGGTGATCCAGAGTGCAAAAGTGTCGGTAGTCTTGGCCCCGCGTCTCCAGAGAAACTTCCTTCTACTCGAGGAACTTTTCTAGTTCCCTTTCCAAATCTTAGCCTTATTTCAATTTCTGGCTGCAGGCTGCATTTGAATTGATGGCTGAACCAAAGTATGCGAAATCTTTCACAATTTCAGTTCTTTCATCATTAACAGTAAAGTTGCGCAATTCTTCTGCAGTCAGGGTTTTAGCTTGAATACTTGCGCTCGGGAGTAAATCGGGCAGGCCGGTGTTGCTCAGCTGTCTCGAGGAAGCTCAGTCCCCGAAGGGGCAGAAAGGAGATGGGAAAAGGCTGAAGGGGAGGGACGTCTGGCTGGGCTGGGCTGGGCTGGGCTCGGCTCTGGCAGGAAGCGACTGTGCCGCTCTGGAACGGGCTGTGCTCCCAGTTCTGGTCGGCCGCGGGCAGAGGAAGCCAGTGGCGGCCAGCCGGCGCCTCGCCCCCCTCCCGCAGAACGCGGGCCTGATCTGGAGGAAGCCCTCGGGCGCTGGTTCCCGGCACGGGGGGCTGCCCGCTCTGCTCGCGGAGGCCAGCCCGCGGCCCTGTGCGTGTCCGGGCGGCAGGCGGGAGCGCTGGCTGTTGGCCAGCGCAGGAAGGGTGCGCTGCTGCGGCACGTACCAGGCATCTGAGGCGGCGGGAGGGATTAGTTCCGGAGACGGGGAAAATCCCATGCGTCGGCCGCATCGATAGATGGTGCTGTTGGCCCCGCCAGCCCTGGCGCAGAACAGGGATTTTTCCCGGGTTGCAACAGGGCCGGTCTGGACGCTTCCATTTACGTGTGGGGCAGCAGAAACGGCCGCCTGGTGGTGAGAGGGGGCCGCACCTCCGCGGCGCACGTGGAGAAGTCTGCTCCGACGGGAAAGCCCCTCCTGGCCCAGGCATGCTGGCAGCCTCAGGAGCTTTTCTGCCGAGACACGCCAGGGAGTGTGCCAGGAACGCACACCCAGGGAGGACTCGGGAGGCCTCTCTCGGGTTGGGTTGTGTGGCAGTCGGCAGTCGATGCCGTCGTTGCTGTGCGGGAGGAGGGCCGGGGGGAGCCTCGTGCCCCATCGCCGCCTCCAGGTTGCGCCAGCTGCCTGAGCGATCGGCAAAGGAAGAGCGGCAAGGTGAGTGTCCAGCTCTGCTGGGGCAGTGGAGGTGCCTGGCACCCCCCGGATGGGCTGGGAGCCCTCCGCTGCCTTCTGGGGCTCCGCTGGAGGGGCCCGGCTGTCGGGGACGAAGCCAGAGCCCCGGGGAGGCTGCGCCTGGTGCCTCCAGAGACGGATCCTCGGGGAAAGTTGGCTGGACGGCATCGGTGGCGCGGGCCGCACACCCAAGCGCGGTGCTTCGACGCGCAGGTCAAATCCTGACGCACATCGAGTGAGCTCTGTTGTAAATCACGTCTGGAGGGCTCCAGGTTGGAGAAGGCCTGTCTTTGGAGGTTAAGGGAAGATGAAAGGGCAGGTGGTGAAATTTGGGGGTTTGCAGGTGAAATCCAGGGACAGGGAGAGAAATGTCAGGGTCGTGGGTAAGGAAGGCACACCAGGGAGGTGAAGGCATCACGCACTGGGCTGGGGCCTCGCTGTGCGCATGCTTTGCCCGGATCCCGCTGCTGTCTTCTCCGCCTTCCTTGGCTGAAGTGGAAGTGGCTCCTCGGGAACAAGACCAGCGTGGCAAAACAGCCCTGGAGCGTTTCATGAGAGGAGACGGCGAGGGCAGCGGGCAGCCTGGGAAACCCGCAGCCCCCCGCCCCCCGCGTCCACCTGCTGCGCCGCTGTCCTTCGGTCTCCGTGCAGATAAGATACGCCAGGCAGCCAGGGGGCCTCTCCTCCCTTCCGCACCTTTCTTGCCACTGGGGGGCTTGGGCTCCCCTTTGAGCGGTTGATCCAGCCTCCTGCCAGCCCAGCGGAACAACAAAGGGACCTTTTCCAGGGAGCAGGAAAGAAGCAAAGCCGGGGCGGAAGGGCCGAGTTCCCAGAGCGTCTCCCAGCCAGACCGGTGCCTCTGCCGCCGTGGGTGGCAGGCTGGCCTTCTCTGCGGCAGCTTCTTTGACAGCCTGGCCCCGCTCTTTCTCCCAAGGACTCCCCAGTCCTCATTTCTGCCGTGACCGGTTTCCTCAAACGCAGCTCATGCCTCGCAGCCTTCCCCAAGCCCCGTGCATGAGTGTGGGCATCTGACGCCCCCGTGCCAGCCCCTCGCGCGTGCCCGGCTTCGCTTGCCTGCCCCTCACATTTGCAGGCGTGGCGCCGTCTCTCGATGCCTCCCTCCTCCCTCACTGGCGCTGTGACCACATCGTGCCGCTCCGGTTCCTCTCGCTCTCACGTTCTGCCGTCCTCCAGCTTCTCTCCCGTCCTCCAAGCGCTGGGCTCCCTCTTGGGGAGGCTGCTGCAGCTTCTCCCTCCTCCGTTTCCCCTCCTGGCCGCTCCTCTGCCAGAACCCCTTGCCCGCCGTGCTGCACCTGCCCGCATCTCCTCCGGCAAGCTCCCCACCTTCCCCAGCCCCCTCCTCACGCGGGCAGGCCTCCTCTGCCGCCGCCTCCCACCCTGGTTGCCGCAAGGCATCGAAGGGGGCAGCTGGGCAGCTGCTCCTGCCCTGGGATCATTGCGCCCGAGCCAGAAAGCCGCCACTGCAAGCCAGCGTGCCCACGCAGGCACATGGGAGGGCATGCCAGCCGCAGGGCAGGCTGGGCCGTGCTCCAGTCGCCTCGCTCCAGGTGCTTTTCGGCTCCGAGGGGAGGGGAGGGGAGGGGAGGGGAGGGGGTGCCGCTTGGACTCAGCCGCCCCTGCGTAGGCTGGCTTCCTCTCGGGCCTGGCTTCCTTTTCTTACCGACTCCTGCTGTGCTGTGCTGTGCTGTGGGTTGTTTGCACGGCGGTGGCGACATAAAGGAGCTGGCTAGGCAGAGAGCCGGCTCTCCGGGAAGGTCTTCCTGCCCTCCCTGCCCCGAGCAGCAGCAGCGGCAGCGGCAGGGATGGGCGGGAGGTGCGCCTGGCTGGGGCTTGTGTTCCCCGTCGTGGAGCAGGAGCGGGGCTGCTGGGGGTGGGAGTGCCGCGGCTTCCCAGCCCGGAGCCCGAGGGTGGCAAGTGGAAAAGCACCGTCGGCGCGCCAGGCAAAGCTGCTTGTTCGAAGTGGCAGTGGCACTCGCTGGTTCTCCTCCTTCCCGTCTCCCCCAGGCAAAGAAGATGGCTGCCTCCCTGGGCAGCACAACCGTGGTCACCCACGTTCTCGTGGCCCTCTTCGGGATGGGCTCCTGGGTCTCCGTCAACTCCCTGTGGGTGGAGCTGCCCGTGGTGGTGAAGATGCTGCCGGAAGGTGAGGAGCGGGGCCAGGGCGCCTGCCGGCCCCCGTGGCGCAGGGGAGGGGCCTCGTGGCAGGCATGCGCCGGCCCGGCCGGTTGGGAAGGGCGGGAGCGCGGGCGGGAGCGCTCCTCGGGTGCAGCCCGCTCCTGAGCGCCCCAGGCCGGGTTGCCCCGGCAGTCCCGAGCCAGGGCGCCATGCCGGGGGCCCTTCTCCCAGTGTGGGGAGCGCCCTTTGCTGGGGGTGCCCGAGCCCCTGAAAGGAGGGGCACGGAGGGGCTGCCCAATGGATGCCGCCCCTCTTGGGAGGGGCCAGGACCCACGGTTTGCTCATGCAGGCTTCCCTCTACCCCAGACCGGCTCCCACCCTCCTGCTTCATTTTGCCCCCACAACACCCCTGCGAGGTCAGCCAGGCTGAGCGTGACTGGCCCTGAATCACCCATTGAGCTTCACGACCATGCCGGAAACGCCTGTGGCGGAGGCAGCGGCTGGCCCTCCGCCCCAGAGCTGTGGGGGTTAGCAGCCCCTTTCCCTCCTGCCTCAGCCTTTTAGAAGCCCCCGTCGCCAGCGGCACACACCTGAGCGGGCGCAGGTGCAGGATAGGCCAGGAGGGTCCGGGCAGGCCAGTGGGGCCACCTGGCCCGAGAGCAGCGGTTGCGGAGGCTCCCGCCCCTGCTTTGGCGGCCGCGCGTGCCCCGGGGCGCGCAGGCGAGGGCCCTGCCTCCCACGGGGTCCTCGGCTTGCAGGCCCTCGGTGGCCGCAAGGCTCTCCAGCCGCTGCGAGACTCCAGGAAGTGCTGGCGGGGGGGGGGGCGGGGGACTCCTTGGGGTCTCCAGGGGCAGAGCACCAGGAGGAGTCGCAGTTCCTGTGGAGGGGGAGCATGAAAATGAGCGGGGCCACGGATGGGAGAGCCGAGGAGGGAGGCCACGTGGGCGGCCCCACATGCTGCGGGGCGGCAGGGAAGGGAGTGTCTCCTGCCTAGCGCAGACGGCGTGGCTGCTGCCGCCAGCCAAGTGGCTGGGGGTATCCAGCAGCTCGGTCTCCAGCCACCCCTCATGGTGGTGGGTCATGTGGCGGCCCCGGGAGGAAGCCCCCCGGCAGCTCAGCGGTACCCGTCTCTGCAAGCAGGCAGCGCTGGGCCGCCTGCCGGAATGGTCGATTCTGGCAGCGGCTGCACAGGGGCAGGTGCGCTGGGGGGGCGGAGGCGTCTGGGGGCTCGGAGGAGACGGGCCGGGAGCAGCCCCGTGTGGGCCCTGCCGGAACCTCACTTGGGGGGAGAGGAGGGGCTCTCGGGCCGCGTGTCCTGCAACGGCAGGGGCTGGGCCTGGTGCCTCCGTGGGTCCTCGGCCTGAGCAGCCCGGCACGCTCTGCTCTCTGCAGGCTGGAACCTGCCCGCCTACCTGTCCGTGCTCATCGCCCTGGGAAACATCGGCCCCGTGAGCGTGACGCTGGCGCACCACTTCGCCCCCGGGCGGCTGAGGGAGCGCTGGCTGATCCACGCCATCCAGGGCCTGGCCGTGGGGGCCGCCCTGCTCCTGGCCCTCTTCTGGGACCGCACGGCCGTGGTGGCCGGTGAGCCGCACAGCGTCGGCTTCCTGGCCCTGGCCTTCGTGCTGGCGCTGGGCTGCTGCACCTCCAACGTCTCCTTCCTGCCCTTCATGTACCAGTTCCCGCCGCTGTTCATCCGCACCTTCTTCGTCGGGCAGGGCCTCAGCGCCCTCCTCCCCTGCGTGCTCGCCCTGGGCCAGGGCGTGGGGCAGCTGGAGTGCCTCAACGGCACCCAGCCCCACTACCCGGAGGAGAACTTCTCGGCCACCGCCTACTTCTGGCTGCTGCTGGCCCTGCTGGCCGTCTCGGCCCTGGCCTTCCTGGCGCTGGCGCTCTGGCACCGCCCCAGCGCCGCCCCGGAGGAGAGGCGCCCCTCCAAGGACGGCGTGGAGTCCGAGGAGTCCTTCCCACTGCAAGTGGACGGCGGGCCCTCGCCCGACCCCTCCGCGGAGACCGTCGCTGCCGGAGAGCGTGCCGGGCCGCCGGCCGCCGCCGCCGCCCCGTCCTTCTGGACCAGGAGGAACGCCGGGCTGCTGGCGCTGCTGGGGCTGTCCAACGCCCTGACCAACGGGGTGCTGCCCGCCGTGCAGAGCTACTCCTGCCTGCCCTACGGGGACCTGGCCTACCACCTCTCCGTGGTGCTGAGCAACATCGCCAACCCCGTGGCCTGCCTCGTGGCCATGTTCCTGCTGTGCAGGTGGGTGGGGGCAGGGCCGCCCGCCACATGCTCGGCCTCGCCCGCGGGGCACTGGCCGGGCACCCCGCGACCACCCGTGCGCCTGGGAGGGCCCCCGGGGTGCGGGCGCTGCCGGCGGGCTGCCAGTGGCGCACGGTGCCCTCCCGCCCCCTCCCGCCACGCCTGGCACTCCCGCTTCTCGGGTGCCACGCCGGCGGCCACGCCGGCTCTCACGCGGCCCTGTGGAGCCGCATTATAATGGGCCCCGGAGCTTTCGAGGTGTGGAAGGCACAGTGGGCGGGAGGCGGGCGGCCTGACCTGTCCCCACCGCCCCGCAGCCAAAGCCAGGCGGTCGGCTTGGCAGTCAGGCCCACCAGTTCCCCCCGGCCGGGGCTCGTCTGGGCCGGGGCTCGAATGTGGAGCCGGGCATCTGACGCAGAGCCGAGCGCTCCCTCGCCCTCCCCCCGCAGCCCATCTGCCCACAGCCGCTTTCACAAAAGAAAGCCCCACAGATGGGGGCCCCAAGCGGCCCCCGGGACCCTGCCCGGCCTCGGCAGGCGCAGTGCAGGCGCAGGCAGCGGGGCCGGGCAGGCCTGCCCCCCTGGTGCGGCTGCTCTGCTTGGCCACACGGGGGCAGCACACCGCCGTGTTCCCGTGGGAGCGGGGCCTCCCGGCCTCGCTGCAGAGGCGGCTCTGCTGCTCCCCGGAGGGGCATCGGGATGCAGGCAGGGCCCCGGGGCCGGGCCGCATCGGGCCCCTGAGCTCCTCTCTGCCCGGGGCCGGTCTTCCCCAGCCAGCCCACTCCCAGTCGCCCAAGGGCGGTCCGTGGGGAGGATGCAGGCAAGGACCCTCCCCACCAGCTCCCACCCCAGCAGCTCCGCGGGGGGATCGGCAGTGCGGGTGACCACCGGCTCGCCTCTCCCCCAGGTCACTGCTGGCCCTGAGTGCTCTCTCCGCCGTGGCCTGCGTGTTCGGGGCCTACCTCATGGGGCTGGCGGCCCTCAGCCCGTGCCCCCCGCTGGTCGGCACCACTGCCGGCATCGCCCTGGTGGTAAGTATGGCAGCAGCTCCCACCGGGTTGCCTGACCGGGGCCTCGGCAGCATCCTGGCGGGGCCGGGGGCGGGGGGCCAGCACGCTGCCGTGCCCTCCTGCTCCTGGCCGGCCCCAGATGAGCTGCCGGCTCGTGCTCGGGGGCTTGGCTGCAGGTGCTGCCGCAACCCTTGGATGGGGCTCGGCCCTGTGAGGCCGCCACGATGGGGGCCGGGGGGGCGGGGAACCGCCTGGGGCTCCCTGCGTGGGCACTGAGGCCGTGTGCGCCTTTCCTCGGCAGGTGCTCTCCTGGGTCGTGTTCCTGGGCCTCTTCTCCTACCTGAAGGTGGTGGTGGGCAGCCTGCTGCACGAGGCCGGGCACAGCGCCCTGGTCTGGTGTGGGGCCGTCATCCAGGCTGGCTCGCTGGTGGGGGCCCTCTGCATGTTCCCCCTCACCAGCATATACCAGCTTTTCCACAGAGGAGTCGACTGCAGGGACAACTGCGTGGCGTGAGCTCCCGGGCCTGGAGGGGCCCCGCCAGCCGAGGCCTCTGGAGCTCCTGGCCCCCGGGCAGGGCCTCCGGCACAGGCGATCCAGCTGGCCTCCGCACAGGGGGTGCCCGTGCCCGCGAGGGGCCCTGCCCTTCTGCGCAGCCAGCTGCCCGGACCGCTGGCCTGGAAGAGGAGGGGGTCCCCGGCTCCTCCCCCCATACAGCTGCCCACCTGCTCTCAGGAGCCGCCTGCCGAGCCCCGCGCTCCTCCCCCGGAAGCTCAGGCCCGCCTGGTGCTTTTGCCCCAGCGAGGGTGGGCCGGCGCCTGCGGCCATGCCGAGCCCGTTGGAGGCCAGGCCTGGTCGTGCCTTCGCAGCGCTGCCCGGCCGCCTGCCTGAGGAAGGACCACTTGCGAGCACTTGGACCCCCTGGCAGGGTGGGCTCCTCTCCAGGAATACCCGCCGGGGGAGTGCATCGCCCCAGCAGCACTCTCTGTGGAGGGGCCCCTGCAACTCAGGGGCCGAGTGGGGGCACTGCCCCAGCCCGTCTCCCATCCCTGCCCGCTCTCGGGCCCGAGACCAAAGCTGCCTTCTCTGAGATTCCCTCCCTTCTCTGCACTTGCCCCCTCCCTGTTGGGAATCCCGACAGAACGGCAGAAATAATTTGCAGCCACCAAAAGGATGAAGACGGAAGCGACTGCACTGAGGCCCTGAGCACCGCCAGGTGCGACATTGCGAGCCGCGGCAGCAGGGCCAGGCCAGGAAAGGGCATTAACAGAAATAAACTTTTTTTTTTGAGACTTCTGCTCGCTTACGTGATTTCTCATCTGTAGCTCCTGCCTGGCGGCCTTACAATAGTCAATGTTTTTTATGTAAAATAGGCCCTGGTGTGGTGGAACAGCCACAGGGGACCTTCCTGGGTCTGATGCCCAGTCAGAGGCCGGGGCAGTGGGGGGGAGTGCTTAGAGCTGGGCCCTGCACCCCCAGGAGAAATGGGCCCGCTCTTGGCTAGGCACACCACTCGCCAAACCCACCAGGCTGAGCTGTTGAGATGCTGCCCAGGCAGAGTGACCCGGGGGACGGGCGGGTGGGTGTCACAGCTGTGCCCCCTGAGCCGATCCCAGTGCCGTGGCGTTGTGTGCCGCCCTGGTGTCCACGGACCGTTTCACCCACTGGGCTCATGGCAGGTGCCACCGGTAAGGCGTGGCTGCAGCCAGGGCCATCCTGGGCCACCTGCACCTGGACATGCCACTGGGCCACTTTGCTTGGAGCCAATGCCCAGACTCCGCCTATGAGGGTCAAGGGAAAAGGGCTTGCTTTTCTCCCCAAAAATCGTCTTGGGGAGATTCTTCACTGGGCTCCTTTGTGCTCCCAGTTTCTTGGCTCTGAGGGCCTCGAGCTGCACCGGGGCGCCTGATCTTAAGAGCTTCGTTTGTTGTGTGTCTCACGGCCCAAGAGCCCCATCGGGCAACAGACGAGCCTCATTGGCCAGAATGCCAGGAGTGGCCGGCACCGGTCGGATTTCAGGAGCTGGCCCTTTGGATTGGGGAGCACCGGGTCAGGTGATACGCCTTCATGGTTTTTTAAACATTGTTGGGCATGTAAAGTTAATTAGGCACTACCCTGCAGTTAATTAGTTGAGCCTGGGGCAACGAGCAAGAGAAAAGGTCTGCCGAGGGAGCGGTTGTGTAAGGAGGGCGGCTGCCAGCAGGTGCTGTGCCAGGCCAGGCCTCTGCGCAGGATGAGCCCTGATGGCTGGACAAGCGCCCGGAGAAGAGGGGCCGCTTCGGCAGAGCGGCAGGCGGAGGGCAGGCGCTCCCACGCTGCCCGTCGCTCAGGAGCGGTGGCGGCTGGACCGGCAGCCTCTCGCACCCCCTTTCCTTTCCTGCAGCCGGGCAAAGCCGGCCCGCCAGCCTGCGTCTCCGTTCAGGAGCGCCCTGCTGGGTCACCCTGAAGCTTGCCGATCCGCCGGGTCACTCGCAGCCGTGGAGTCTGGCGAGGAGGCCAGTGGCTTGAAAGCACAGGGAGGTGGATGGGCTGAGTCATGTGCCGCTCAGACGCCCCCTCTGCTGAATTCCCGGAGCAAGTCGAAGAGGGGGGCTGACTGCCCCTGTGCAGGACGTGGGAAGGGCCCCTCCTCTGAGGAGGATCCAGCTCGTGGCTCTCCGAGGCCGCATCCCTCACATGGCAGCCACGAGGAAAGCCTGCTGATGCCGGACGCCCCGAGCGAAGGTGGGTGAGTCAGGGCAGGAGAGGCTGGTACTTGGCTTGCTGCTTGCTTTAAACCACTCCTATACTGTACCGATATCCAGTGGGCTCTCTGGACAGTTTACAAAATTTAAAGTAGAAAACAAAACATCACAACAGGATAAAAACAATGTAGCATCATGATCAATAAAAACAAAGCCTATAACAAATAAACAGTACAAAAACAGCTTAAGTTATAAATAAATACTAATTGACATAATTCATCCACACTGCCACAAAAGATAACATACAACATCTCAATGCTTAAAGTGCCAGGGAAATGACAAGGTTTTAGCCTGGCACCGAAATATGTGGCGTGTCAGCACCAGGCACACCTCTCTGGGGAACCAGTTCCACGAATGGAGCCACGGCCGAAAAGGCCCCTCACCCAGAGTGATCTTGAGACAGAGCATGAAAGGAGGGAGGCATCCAAAGAGGAAGCGGCAAAGAAAAGGCGGCGCAGCCAGCGGCACAGTCCAGGCAGCCCATTCTGGCTGGCATGGCGGAGCAGCTTCCGGGTCGCCCT